CAGAGAAGTTCTGAGTTATTCCTTCTGTATCCAAGTACGTATCGATCTTGGCATTCTTGAACTCTGTTCCATTATTACTTCTCAGCTTTTGAATTTTGCTTTGTAGAAGTACTTGGATCTTGGTCATTAGTTTGATTAGCAGCTCTGGTACATCTGATTTCTGGCTTACAAACTCAATCCAAGTATATCGTGAGTATTCATCAATTATGACTAAGATATACTCCTTACCATACAAGCTTTGCACAGAGATTGGACCGCAAAGATCCACATGAAGCATATGCAGAGGTCTGATGCAGGACACATCTGTCTTAGTTTTATGGGATGCTCTTTTGAGCTTTCCCATTTCACACGCAGAGCAGAGATGGTCCTTCTCGAACTTTATGGCAGGAAGTCCGTCAACCAACTTATGCTTCACAAGTTTTTCTAAATTTTGAAAATTGAGATGAGACAGCTTGTGGTGCCAGAGCCAAGCTTCTTCACTCTTGCAAGACACGAGACAGAGAGTCTCTGAGTTGTCTTTTGGTGAGAAGTTCATGAGATATAGATTGCCTTTTCTCTTAGCTCTTAACAACTCCTGACCTGATTCTGACATAATAGAGCAAGCTTCCTTTTGGAACTTGACATTATAGCTAGAATCACACAGTTGACTTATGGTCAAAAGATTATGTTTAAGCCCAGAGACATAAGCAACGTTGGAGACAAAAACCTTACCTTGTAGTAGATCCCCGTATCCCTTTAGTTCTCCTTGTTTATTATCCCCAAAGGTTACTTTTCCTCCAATCTTTTCTCTGTATGAGGAGAGCAACCTTTCATTGCCGGTCATGTGTCTTGAGCATCCGGAGTCAAGATACCAAATGTCCACATGCGGCTTCTGCAAAACAAATTATAGGGATTTAAGTACCCATTTCATAATGGGTCCTTGATGATTAGGGATAGAGGGTTGCTTTTTAAACTTGGAAAGAGTCGTTGTCTCTTGACCTGAATTAACAGACTTGGCTTTAGGAGCCTTCTTTCTCTTCTGGGTCCTCTTAGATTTAGACTTTGATGACCTAGAGAGTAGACAGTTAGGGTCAAAGAGGTGCTATTTTAATTTCAACAACAGAGAAACACATTCATAATTATGAAAACATTTTGAATGACAAAATGATTTATTAGCTTTAAAAAATAAATTATTACAATCATTCCTAGCATTGGTTGTTCTAGCAAACTTCCTATCTATATCTGATTGTTTTAACACAAAATGAGACTTCTCTGATTTCTTCTTTCCTACTTCTTTGGCCTTCAGAGGCCTCTCTGAAACAGAGGAACTAATGTTAGAGCAAGCAGCGGATTTTCCCTTCTGTTCCGGAGTGAATTTAATTGGCTTAGATTTGGAATTTGATCCCTTCGAAGCAGAAGAAACCGACTTTGCACTCTTTACCCTGTACTCAAACTTGGGAGTAGATTAGCATTTGTCGACATGCTTGCACGACCAGAACCTAGGAGAATCTTTTTCTCAATAGGGGATTTTGCAACCTCTGGTTCTTTGGCAAAGACATCTATCTTAACTTGCTCTTCAAACGAGTTCACCTCTGACTCAGAGTCAGAGTCAAGAAAATCCTTGTGTGAATTTCGAGATACAAAGGTATCATTAAGAACTTGAGGTTCTCGTAAGCATAAGCTACAAGCTTCATCCATGTTTTGTTTTAGTGGACTTTCAAAAGTATCCGAGGAGTTACACTCAAAAGAGTCTGCATGTCCTTTAGAAGGATAGTTCAAGGCCTCAAGCAAGTCTTGCCCGTAGACCTGTCTTATCATTTCTGTAAAGCCATCCATCAATTTCGAATCCAGAGTTTTAAGAAAATTACCTGTGGATGAACTCTTGATTTCATCAAATTAAGGTTTGACAACCTCACTTTCAGTCTTAAGATGGTCAAGATTTGTAGAGCCAAAACAAAAAAATTCATTTGTCTTCTGTATGCATTTTAAATCAACTTGTGGAACACATTTTGAAGAGTAAGAGATGTTTTTGAATTTCAACTTAGGTGTTCTGGCTCCACTTTCAAGATTACATCTTTTAAACGGTGAGGCTGTATGCAAAATAGGAAAATCTGGTTTATGTTTTTTGCCCAACCTAAACACGAACTCAAGAGTGTTTTTCCTCTTCCAGGTGAGGTCTAGGTCTATATGACCTATCCCTGCTTTATCCTGTTGAGAGTTAACTTTTTCATACACTTGCTGAGCATCTTGATATTTCTTAATCAATAGCTCTTTTCTTTGTAAGCTCTGGTGTAGGAATCCCCTTTCCTATTGAAAATAGTCTTTTAGGGCCTCAGAGTTTAGACTGTCTCTCTCTTTTTCTATAAGCTTTGTATCCTTTTTCTTTATAGCCACTTTTAGTTCTAAGCACTCTATTTTAAGACTTGTTTCAGTGGATCGTTTTGTTTTTAAAAGATTTTCATTCTCCACTAATAACTCTTGTTTTTCTACAGTTAGTAGCTCTGTCTCTCGTTCAAAAAATAGTTTTTCCTTTTCTAAGGATTTTGTTTAGATTTTTCGAGAAAGACTTTTGCTGTAAATTGACGAAATCGTTTGTCAAAGCAGAGATGCTCTCTTCCAGGTCAGAGTATGAGTAACCAGAGATAGAACATACCTGGGAGTCGGAGTCAGATCCAAACTCATTCTCAACAGCCATTCCACAGAAGTTGGCTTGATCTTCTTCATCAGATGAGGAGTCAGAGACCCAATTCTCTTGTTCTGCCATGAGACTCCTTTGTGATCGATTATACTTGTACTTATTTTTGTAGTACAGTTCATCTTTCAAAAGAGGGCCTTTGCACTCTTTGGAGTAGTGCCACATCTTTCCACATCTGAAGCATCGGACGCCTTGCTTCTTCTGTTCCGACTGCTCTTCCTCTTTCTTGTTGGGAATAGAAGGAGGGTTCCTTTCATCAAAAGACTTCCCTCTACTTCGGTCGTTTTGTCTTCCTCTTCTGTCGAAGACTTTCTTTCCAAATTTCCTTTGGAATTCCTTGGTGATCAGGGCCAAGGATTTCGCAAAGGCGTTAATGTCGTCGTCTTCAAAGCTAGATTCTCTATCTGTATCGTCAACACTCTCCAAGATGAGAGCCTTCTTTCCTTTCCTCCTTTCTTCTTTGGGTCTCCGTTCTCTATGTGGCTGGCATGTTCCTGTCTCTTTTGACTTAGAGACAAGAGCCAGAGGTCCACCCGGAGCGACCTTCGCCTTCTGCACCTCTTGTTCTTGTGCTTGCATCGTCCCATATACGCCATGCAAAGTCCATTCCTCCAGATTCTGGTTTGCCTGGAGGGACATCGTCAGATTACCCCATTCAGCGTTCGATCTCTTCAAGAAGAGCATGTTGTTCTCCTCTTGAGTTCTGATCACGTCACACTTGCGACATTTGTTGATCAGAGTGTTGAAGCGATGATAATTCTGTTCTAAAGACTCATTAGGGAGTGCCTGGAAGCTGTTATATTCATTGAGGCACTGGGCACGATGATTCTTCTTCATCTTAATGCCCCCTTCTAACTGGTTGGCCAGTTGATCCTACAAATCCTTCGCCGAGTCGCACGCATCCAGTGACTGAAAGATTTTGTTTGGAAGCGCCATGATCAAAAGTCGTTTGGCCTTTTGATCCACCTCCACTCTTCATTTATCTTCATCGTTCAAGTCACGACGAAGTTTGGGAACTCGCATGGCAGGTACCTCAACTGTATCACCAGTAGCAGGAATTCTAGGGATGACTGTAGTAGGGACGTATGGGCCATTCAAGATTGACTCATACAATTCTAGGTCAAGACCCTCATAGAAGTTGATCATTCGAATCTTCCATTGGGGACATTCTTCCCTAATGAGAGTCGGAGTTTTTGTTAAGGAGCCGGCACTATACATGGAGTTCCACGATTGAGAAGACGACATTTTTAATTGAATTTTTTTTGACGAAAGAAGTTTGACAAGAAAGAAGATCGACTTAAAAACGATTTCCAGATTACTCAAAAGCAAACGTTTTTAAAATTTAAAATAGAGGAGTGGTAAATCTTTTAAAAACGAATAATCAAAGGAAAATTAAGAGTCTTATCCAGTCGGATATCGATCGACTAATCAATTCATGTGATTATGTAACAACCCTCACATCTCAAATACATATAATTCACATCATCATTCTCATAATACTAAAATAGTATTATTACAAAACATGAACTATCAAAATGTATCTTTAATACATATGCATAACAAGCTAATATCAACAATTAGACTTTTCCCTTGCCTTTATCTTTCTGAGCACTCTGTCCTGCAAAACAGGTTAATCCAACATCTGAGCGTTAGACCAAAAGGTCTAGTGAGTKTATAATCTCATACAACAATATATATTCCAAACATTCAGTTTAGAATCAAACCTGTTCTGAAACATAAGTATATTTATGTTTCTCGCGGATTACACCGTCATCTTATTCTCTTATCTTTTTCTCACTCGCGGTTACACCGCCCATTATACCATTCTCGCGGTTACACCGCCCCTAACACTCTCACACGCAGTTTACACTGCTCATATCACTCTTGCGGTTACACCGCCATCTCACACGCAGTTTACACTGCTCATATCACTCTTGCGGTTACACCGCCATCTCACACGCAGTTTACACTGCTCATATCACTCTCGCGGTTACACCGACATCTCACACGCAGTTTACACTGCTCATATCACTCTCGCGGTTACACCGCCCATATCACTCTCGCGGTTACACCGCCATCTCACACACAGTTTACACTGCTCATATCACT